TAAATGAATGGAAATAATTTACATGACTGCCATTTAAACTTTTATCCAAACAATGAAATTGTTTCTAAATCAGATTATACATATCCGGGATCCTTTGCTTTTAACAAGTTTTTGGGGGGGAATTTGACACAAAAAGTAAGCTAAGTTTTGTGTTTCTCATTTTCATGAAACTGCTGAAAGCATGCATAGCCATGGTGTGTGTACACTACATGTACAATTATGACTAAGTGAAGGAGGACATGATTTGCATAAATCATTGCTCACTATTCATCGTCTTTAATTGATAAGAGACCACAGGGGGTTGAAGGTCCCCATTGATTGTTTCATCCACTCTTACTCTTTTCATAACTCACACTTTCCTGCACTAGTTACTTGAAGTGTACAGCATTTCTATCCCCGAGTAGTGCATCTATAATCTAGCACAAAACCAGCCTTTGCAATAGTAATGGATGAGATCCCATTTATTTTTTCAGTTTTAATGATTCCAAGTTGTCAGAATGGCTTGATTAGTTAACTGGTGCTGAGGCAACCCAGTGCTTGAGCAAAAAGAAAGAATGTATTCTAGGATGGCAAACTGTCGACGGTAAGCACGCAGAATCTGCATAAGCACGTTCTGTCCTAGCTCTTTTAATAACGAGCTGGATCTACTGCATTCAATTCACAGACATGAACAAGCAATCAAAGGGCTTGGAAGAAACAAAGTGTAATGCTACATGTAAGTTCTTGATGATCATACAGTTTAGCTGCCTCAACCTTGCACTACCCACATACCCTGTATCGTGCACTGCCCAAGTGCAGGGTCACTAGCCATGGCAAGCAAGTGAAAGAGAAAAGTCAAGTTACAGATCAATAAGGAAGTACATGTAAGAAGAACTATTAAATCAGTAACAACCATTAAGTAAATATTAGTAGTGCTTGTCTAATAATCTTGCCTAATCTACTGATGAAAACTCTTATTTAAGCTTAGTAACTTTTTCAGAAACAGGTACGTAATTCCAATTAAAGCTCACTGTTCTCCACGGCTTTAAATTATAGCAGGGCAGCAGGCAATGTGAGCATGGAGTGTGAAGCCTTTGTGGCATGGGGTCCAGAGCCCACTAATAAGGGCCCCAGGAAATTTTGGATTCTATGTGCTCTGTGGTGCAATCTGCATCTGAGGCATTTCCTGAGCACTTTCTTCTGACTCTGTGAATCAAATTTGCTTGTGTTAACAACTTGAGATGAAGGCAAGATAGTTAATTTTTTTCTGGGGCATTCAGTTCTTTTTGTACTGATCAGAACTTATCATCAACGTGGGTTTAACTGGAATAAAAATGACCTCAAGTGTTACGGAACATTATAATTTAGGTTAACTGGTTCTTCTCGCGACAAAGTGAAAATGATATGAATAAGGAGACTGGAGTCAGTCCACAATTTTTTACTTAGTACTGCATCTGGGATTGATCATTAATGCTACTACAAGTGCAATACTGATCTGCTGAATATTGATGCTGGCAAACTCATAAGGTTTGTTCCACAAAGTGTGGTTAACTTCTTTATCCTTACATAAACTGTGAAGACAGTGGAGAATGGGGAAAAGTCAGTAGAAAAAATAGCAGGGCGGTGAAATTTGGGTGGGGGTGACGAAACTTTAGCAGGGCAGCCTAAAATGTTGGCAGGGTGGCCCCCCTTCTAAAACCCCTTGTGGAGAACACTGAAAGCTTGTGCAAACATGTACAAGTACCCCCCTACTGCTCTGTGCAAAAAGAAGGTTTGAAGATGGCACAGTCTGCTCACAACTCTGGTATCTTGCCACTACTGTAAGTCAAGGTGTGTGCACATTCCAGCTTACGGTATCCTATGGAGAGCAGGCAACTAATTTTTGCCTAAATGTGCACACACAAAAAATCATCTACTCATGGGTAATAGGTGCATAGCATTACTTAATCACATTGAAGGCACACTAGAGTACGGATTCCACAAGGCTGCCAAGCTCTGCACTTCCAAACTAGGAGATTTAACAATCCAAACAATCTAATTTAACAAGTTGGGGCAATAATATTTGCCCGAAAAAGACCACAATGCTCAGTATACAATGCATCGAGGCCTATTTATAGAACAACCAGAAGGCACATGCTATACTCCCTTATTTTTCAATTGTGTGTTACTGAGCAGAGTAGTTCAGGATCTCTGATATGTACATGTGAGTAAAACCGTTTTCCCTGATGTCCTCAACATTTGCTTATCTCCTGCCGGATCATTTTTCATTTTAAGTGACATCGATATTCAATGTGTGCACTCATACATTCAATGTGTTATTGTGCATTCACTCCATTTTAATGGGACAGCCACGTGTTATTCTGATGTCTACCCTTCGAGTACCATTACTATGTGGGTTTAACCATTAACCACAATCACTACATGCCCTCTGCTTGGTTCCCACTAATTACTTGTTCTTTTCTGCTTTAAAGTGGGGAAAGAAATTCAGATTCCAGGAATAATATTACGTGAGCTACTACCATCTTGCCTGAATCTGACAAATGTTTTTCTCATAATGTAAGAGGCACGTTGTATGTGGCGGTCTTCCTTGTGCATTGCCAGGTTTTCATTTGAACAAAAGCCTCAGAGAATTGGAAACTTTTGTACCAATTTAAAAACTACTGTTTTTCAGCCTTAAATGTACTTCACCATCAGTCTCTGTCCATCCTATTCCACGCAGTTTAAATTTACAGCATTTAGAAAGCTACGCTAATCTCAGGCAAGATCTACATGTATGTCCATATAATCAGGGAAAACTTGAAAGGTGAAATCCTTGACAATATTCATATTTGGATTCAATGCACACGACAAGTTTCAATGAGGCAACGTTAAAGTTGCTGGCTTCCATGTGCAATGGGATTGCTACTCCTGATAGACACACATTTCAACACTTTTTTGCCCTAAGCCACAAAATTTTATGAGGCCTGTGTATTTGCTTCCTCTCCAAGAAAAACTCACGGGAAACTACACAAGCTTGCCACAAACTTCTGCTTAGAAAGTCATATTCACCAACAGCAAGGAGAAACTCAGTAGCCAAAGACTGTGTCAGTATTTATTTGAATATTTAATTCCAATCTCCCAGGTCAGTCAAAATAATGTCAATATTTTGTGGGATTTTTTTGAACATGGGAGCCCAACCACAATTTTGTTACACAGGAGCTTGATGCACTCGGTTATCGTAGGTCTAAAGTATGTGCCCTTGATGAAGTATGCTGACATTTCACCCTTTTGAAAACTATGGATACCAAAATGTTTGCATGACCATGAGAGTAATGGTGTTAGTATGCACGCACTGTACACATGGAGTCCAAAGTGCCTGCAGGTCAACCTCAAAGACAAAATTGGAATTCTTCATTTGATTTGGCGAAGCTCAGTCCAAGCTTTCCACAAGAGTAATTGCATTTTCACAGACAGCTGAAGTGGTTATGGAGACTCTGTACTTATTCATGAATGATATTATATTCCAAGAGGATAAGCAACCATGATTGGGTAAATGGACTTAACAAATTAAGGAATTAAATATAAAAACATGATTAAGATTGATGACGTGCATACTGTGTTTAAAATGAAAAAGAAACATCAATAAAATGTGCAATGCAATGGCTGTGAAAGTCTCTGTCACAAATGTAATTGATATTTTGCTGTGTATATTTATTGACTTTGATCAAATACATATGTGACCCTTACCCATTAATTATAAATATATTGAGAGTTACAAGATCGATAGTTACATCCGTACGTATCTGGGAAAAAAATGCCAAATGTTCAAAGAGCAAAAAGAAGCAGCTCACTCAGTGTCAAGAAATGTAGAAGGAACTCAGTATAAGGCAACTTCCAAACATTTCCGTCTGCTACATAACACTTTCAGGAAAACAGGGACTGACTGTCCAAACTAAAATCCCTCTCAAAAGTCCAAGGGACTATCCAGCTACACTGTAGTGTACATGTAAGAAGCACTGAGAAGTTTCACAGGTTAAAACAGAGAGGGATGACTTTTGTCAAACATCAGGCAAACTTCCAAACAAAATTAATGCTTGGGAAGAAACAAAAACTTCTTTCAGTCTAGGTGGAAATATGAGAAAATTAAAGTTCAATTAAACTCCTAAGAGGCGGGTAATGAAAGTCAAATTCCTCTGACTAAGTACATGTATGCAGACAGACACGTCTAGTTTAAATAGCACACAAACAATGCTACTGACATCAACAATGATTTTCCCCACCATTCCTTTAGTTCTGCATTTACCATGCATTTCAAAGCAATACCAAATCTTCTGTGGGCCCTCAAAATACACTGTACAAACACAAAGAGCGGATAAACCAAACCGCAGTATACAATTTCCAACTGTGATCAGCTCCCTACACTCCCTGGCTACTCTGTCTAGAGCTTGAACAATGAAAGCAACCAATATCCCAACCCTGGCTTTTGATATTTGATCTACATAATGTACACTTTGTGAGTCACCAGCAATATACTTGCACTTCAAACATGAAATAAAACAGGAATGCACTGCCTACACACGCACTTAAAACACCCTCCTTGTTGGCACAGAGGACAATATAAAGTAAACACTGAAACCATGAAATAAAAGTTAACATAATTATGAGCAGACTGGAACATCCTTTGTGGGGTAATGGAAGATTTTTATTAAATTATAAATAGTGCACCGTGCAAGGCCAGTGCCTCAAAATGAAATACTGAAAGTGATGGTAATCTAAGAAAATCTTCTTCTTTCACTCTCTTAAAGAGATGATGGCAGTGTGTAAAATAGAGAAGGCATCCTATGTCACACCATGTTACATATGCTACCGACAAGACATGTAAAGTGAGACAAGATTTCTTACTTGAGAAAATGCTCATTTTGCTGTGCCTTCAGGAAGTTTGCTTAATTTCATTGCCATAAATATAGTCAATAACTTATCCCTCCCCCAATACTAATCCCCCCCGCCCCCGTGGGAGAAAAACACTAACTGTTCACTGGTACCTTGGTGGCATATTTCTCTGCTGTTAGCCTGCATTTTTGCTCCACCTCGTATTTGATGTGCAGATGGGTGAACTCTTCACAAGCTGCCTCTGAAACTGTTTTGAGAAGGACATACTGTATCTTTGATGTAAGCTGGGGGAAAAAATGTGACTCTATCTGTGCGTGTACCAAAAGGAGTGATTTCTCAAAACTGGTATTTGACAGTTTGTGACGATGAACAAGAGCTTGAGCTCTTTTCTTGAAGAAGCTTAATAATGGCATAGAACCACACTGAACAATAAATGTGGCACCGTTAGCTTCAGATCAAGATTCAGTTGAAGAAGATTGACCAAAGCTGAATTTAAACCCAGTGACATATGTACACATAAATGGATGAGCATCCCCCTCTCCCACTTCAGACCAAGAGCCAACAGGAGGAGGAGGAATGGTTTTAAAAGAGGAGGGGGAGACCTCAAGCCATCAGACTGAAAAGAATACGACGATAAAGTTGTAATGTACCTCCAATGGCAGGAAGGCCTATAAAGACAGGGGGGACAAAATAACTACCTTTTCAAAGGTGGGGGGCAACAGCATCCCCTCCCCTCCAATTCCACCACCAGTGCCAAGGCCCCCTTCGAACCCTCAACATTGTCTCAGTGTCCCCTGTTACAGGAAATAGTGTCCCCTATAAAGTACCCTCCTCCCTCTCCATCCCCCCCCCCTGCACTACTCTGGAACCTCCAAAATATTCCACTGGAGCTCTACTGAGGTATTTGGGAATATATTGTGTTGGCTAAATACGTGATGAACAAATTAAATACAATAAGAAGCAGAAGATGCATCACACATCAATTCCACCCCCTTCATTTGATAATGCCACGAGCTACTTCAGATTTGGGCTAATTTTCCTCGTCTCTTGAGTTTAAAATAAAGAAGTGCCTTTTGTGATTTCTTGTCCCAATTCTAAAGCACAGGGTTTCAGCACATAATGGTCCTCTTTCTTCAATCTCTGAGACTTACCTACACCAAGGTTCGACAGTTCCTGCTCGGTACTGACAAGTTTCTTCTCCAGACCCCTCCTAATTTTCTCACTTTCCTGGAATTTGCGGCGTAATTTGTCATAGCTCTTTTTGAGCTCTGCGTGTTCTTGAACAGCTGAAAATGAAAGGGCACAAACAATCTGTAAGTTTAGGAGAGAAGTTATCATGGGCCTTTTGGGGGGGGGGGCTTAATAAGACTTTTGCAAGTTGAATTTAAATAAAATCTGGTACACTCAGTTATTTGATAGCACATAAACTAGACAATGTGAATTCCCCAGACTAAAGACACTGTTGCTATACCTCATGATTCGGGGCAAGCTATTGCAAAGCGACCATCATCTCTGGAATGGACTGGTTCCTCTGTGCCCTTCTTAGCCACTGAAAACGGTGCACTGGTGCAAGGTGTCTCATATGAAACTAAGCAAAAGCTTGTCCCAAATCACGAGGTACAGCAACATTGTCTTAAGAATGGAGAATTTATTGTGTTCTATTTATTGTTTTGAGAATTCAGTAGTAGCAGATTTTATTCAAATTTAACTCGAAAAAGGCACATTCAACTTCACTACCCCAGAGCCACCCATGATTCTTCAATAGTATGACAATTATTTATGCCTGTAATGCAGTGCAACCATGGTGGAAAAGTCCTGAACTACACGTTCACATGTATAAATACCCTTCCACTTGAGTCACCTTCATCCTGTGTGTGACTGCCAATTGAGCCACATTAGGGGATTTCCCCAATCTTCACATAACGCTTGATGCTTCATTAACATTACAAGGAAGGAGCTGAAGGATAATTGGCCTTCCTACTCTATTGTTGAAAGTTTGTTTGCCCGTGAGATTAAGGAAACCATATCCTGATATTGACAGGCTGCTGAGTGGTTAGTGTCTGGGTCACCTATCAGGCCTCCTTGCAAGGAGGCTTAGAAGTATGCATATTAAAATGTTTGGTATAGAGCAAATGCACAATGGGAAACAGAGAAATGCTGTGGACGCAGTTCGCTTAGTCTTTACAATTATGATCAGTTAGATACTATTCTTTTTTCTCTTGTGTACATAAGGGGACATGTAATAACATTTTGCAGAATACAGTATATCAGACTTTGCAGGGCATGTTACTGTAACACATTGGATGACTTACATGTAACAGCCATGTCAATTATCATTCATAATTATATCACTGACGTGAAGCAGGTGCTTAAACCTCTGTGTCTATCATCAGAAAATCTGACCAACCATGACCTTTGATACCCAGTGATGCAAATATGTACACAAGCTGTATTTTGTTGAAGGCTAAACGGAACTGTGAGAATGAAAACACACCTTGGGAAAATCCTGACAATATTTGGAGTTTCAATTCAATTGCTAGCCTAGTTTGGTTCACGAGTTTTATTTTTCACATTGGCCACATAGTTAAGGAAGTTTAGACAGATTGCTGTCTCCTTTTGATGTGCCAGTCTGGTGCATTAGAAATGGAAACCAGACCAGTTAACAACAAATGGATCTCAGACTTGGGGTATACATATACCGGTACCTACCAAAAGGAAAAGAAAAACATGTATGGAAAGCAAACATAATGATCTACCTGTGGGAAAAATTCATGCACTGATGCTGCTTGACACCCTGTAAATGAACCCCATGAAACAGGTCTGAAAAATTACTTTTTCCAAGTGAAAACCTGAAAATGTTGGCATTTGTAAACTTCCGGACCCCTTTCCTATACAGAAGGTAGAATTAGATTTAAGCTGGCAGATTCACCCAACCAGAGGACAATGACACTATTTCGTCAAAGTCCCGGGTTTATTTTGTAGAAAGAGGGTAGGGTTTGATTTTTGAGGGAAATTATGGGGTAAAAACAACAACAGAGACACAGACTGTGCATGCAAGCATCTGCTAAACAAAAAAAAAAAAGGCGATAAGTCAGAATGTGCTTGGTAGATTCTCTCTGATTGGTAACAGAAAAGTTTTATTAGAAAGCCAATCTCTGATTGGTTGAGATGAGCCAATTGGGGAGTGTGAGTATTGAAAATAACAGCCAGATTGTATGCGCACACGTCCACATGATGATATTATTTATGTAAAACCCGAGTGTTACTGATTGGTTACTGGAAAGTTTCCTTGGAAAGTGGATCTCTGATTCGTTGGAAACATGGGAAAGGCAGATTAGGTCACACAGTCTACCATGTTTGTGTGTCCAGTTCACCTTGCATTTACACTGACAAGACATAGGTAAGAAAGTCGCATTTTTATCTTGATCTATTTTCCAAATGTAACCTAAACATGGTCATGACAATCAAGAGACATTGCCCGAGTAACACTCCTTTTAGGGGCTGACCTTTATCAGCAAAAGTAACTAAAAACAGGGGTCCCAAAGTTCACAAACCCCAAACTTTTCACAGCTAAATTGGACTTTGGGACATGCCGGTTTCAGAAGGCTAATACTTTTATAGGTCAATACAGGGAAAAGTTTGTGGCATATGTACGGAACCGTATAAGGGCCACTTGTAACAAATATTTTTTGAGTTACTATCTCGCTGCGGCGAGTTAAATTGTTGAGTGTGTATCTCGCCGCGGCGAGTTATAAGATCTTTCCACGGCATCAAATTGATATCCTGCTGTGCAAATATTTCAGCAGTTTCATAAGTCCTATTCAGCGCATCGTCTTTTAGGATGAAATGCCTTGAGATTTGGTTCTAGATTGCTAATTGGAACAAACAATTTGTTACATTTCAACAAAGCCTGTTTTTCTGCACAAAGACAATGAAATCTTCTTTTGTGGTGTGAATTTCCACATTCAGATGAGGGCTAAACTGTTTTTCATTCCTTCCTACATTTTCCTAGTGCCAAACACAAGCAATCGGACTTGAAGTTACATGAAATTTTCAACTTTCATCAGTTGAAACTTATTAATCTATAATACTTAAAATGGGAGATTGAAAAACAGTACTTTTACAAACACAACGCATGAAATAACTCATAGCTTTGGATGCTCATACCAATATAGTGTAAGTGCACACATGTCATTTGCACGGAGCTGGAAGTGTCAACCCGTGTTCAGATGTTAATATAGACTCCATCCAATAAATTCTCAACCAAAAATATGTTATGTACTGTATTTGCCCTTCCCAGCACCTTGCACTGTATGGATTGTTTGTGACAAGTGAAAGCATGGATGTGAGGTCAGAGAGCCTGAGGATTTCAATCCAGTTGATGAGAAAGTGTGTAGTAGTTTTCCTTTTACCTTCATTTCACTTTGCCTGCTGAAATCTCCTAAATCATAGCAGATTTTAATGTTAGAATGATATTAGCATCGAGGTTTGGTTCAAAATGGCAACACACATTGGTTTAAAATATGCAAGGGTATAGCTAGAAATTTGGGGGGGGGCCAACCATGAAAACAATAACATTTCACTGCTGGAAGAGGTTCAACTTCTTTTCTTTTTTTTTCTCAAGCCAATAATTACGTTTTATTTCATTTCTAATTTTCATTTCTTTGGTTTTTTTTTCTTTCTTTTCAGGGTCCCCCCCTTGCAGTTCATATGTAAATAGGATTATTTAAAGTATAAATGAAAGGGCACCGTAATCCTTTCAACAGGCAGTCTACCAGATAGTCTACCAGGGAGTCAAAGTGGGCTACCCCACTTCCAGATATGGAAATTCATAACCCCAAAAGAAGATTTTTTTGGTTTCTTTTGTGTTGGAAATCAAGCCTGGTTGAGATGTAACATCCCCTTTTGTTCCAGTTAGCAATCTAAAACCAAATCTCAATGCATTTCATCCTAAAGATACATTTAAAAACAAATCGCTAAATAGGACTTATGAATCTATTTAGATATCTGCTGCGATGGGATATCAATTTGACACCGCGGCGAGATCTTATAACTCGCCGCAGCACGATATGCATTCAACAATTTAACTCGCCGCAGCAACATAGTATATATATCTTGAACAGAATTTTTGCAAGTGACCCTTACACACTTCAGTACATATAGATGTCTTTCCTGGTGGAAAAAAAATGGAGTAATTGCAGAATACCCCGTAACTCTAAAATATGACCCCTGGAATGACTGGTTACGTGGCTACAAGGTGAAAATCCCTTGAGAAGGGTGTGACATTTTGATTTGTACTTGGCTGTGAGATTGATCATGCGGGGTGGCTGGTGTTCTAAAAAAATAAAGGGAGAAAAAAAAAGCATCTGGAGTGGACTGGAAAATGGAACCCAGCACGATGGGCTTGTAACATTTGTAAAATTTAACAGTTCTGGAAGTACATGTAATGTGAGATACTCCAATACAGAAGCAATACTGAGGCCTAACTCAGACTCGTGAACAGGGCCTGGGTCTACCTAGGCCAACCAGTTTGCCATTTGGAATGAAACGAGTTTTGATGCTAACTGGTTGTGATAACAACAGGCCGCGTAGAAACATGGAAGTTGATTAATCAAATCTTACAGATTGCAGGACTTTACCTTTCGCCGCAGCTTTCTTGAAAGCAACAAGTTCGCTGCTAGCCTCTGTGGACAGCTTAGAACTTTTCGAAACTGTCAAAGTTGTCTCCATACCTTCCTCTTCGGTATGCGTTTCAAAAGAAAATGTAAATTCCTGGACCCTCTGTACGATAAATTTTGATCACATTATCACCTAACAGCGCTACATATAGCTAGCCAACTAACCATACTTCCGCTTTTGAACGGACTGGTGCAAAGTTTGTAATAGGTGACAAGTTTTGTAATCCATTTTGGTGCTAAAATCATCGACGAATTAAAGGATTAATGAAGTACTTCTACATATAAATATTGTGGACCTTATAGTGATTCTTTAATCCGTATTATTAATAGCTTTGCTCTTTAATGAATTTCGTTTTGTATGCAAATACTGATATATCTCCACCCTTGTGGCAAAATGGTATTGGCCAATGACAAAGTGACGTAAAAGTTTGGCCACTCGCTTAGCAAATGTAGAGCGCGGACACTGCACTGACGCAACACCTGTTAATATGAAATACGACGTTAGTGCTGAAAACAATAAAGGTGCCATTTGTGATTATTGCTTATCATCAAATAAATTATCCAGATTCTCACGAAACATTTACACAAATTTTACACATAACTGCAAACATAGTCCGCTTATGTTTACGCTATTACCTTACTGCTTCTGGAGTTGGTGCGATTTGACTTATGGTGGCGCTATTCAACATAAACGGGTGGAAGTTTTATATTGATTCAATAAACAGCCAACTTTGCCTACCTACATGTACATGTAAATGTACATGTACATGGCAGTTTATTCATCGTGCAGTGGCTGAATTTAGTCCTGAAATACGAATTTTTATAGAAATATAAAACATTTTGGTATTAATTTTGCAGACACGACTCGGTAATATGGAATTTCCGTGTCTCGATCTTTCACACAAAGTGCAGATTAAATATTGTACCTTATTTTCAGGTGAAAAATTCAATACAGGAAATAGTCGTTATATTTTGGGGTTGATAATGATTGAACAATGCACAAGTCCGCGAATATTTTAGCGATTTTATTCCACTGTGTTCGTCGGTCACTGCTGCATACGTTGATTTGATTGGTCCTTTGAGTTGAGTGGTGGTTCCAAATTGAGACGAACAGCTCCGCCCACCTGTTGCATGTAGTTCATCTCCTCAGGGTATTTCCGTGGCACGGAGCGCTGAGCAATGTTTATCTCCGCTTGTTCGAGACAAGCTAATGTGCTGAATGTGCATGTATGTAAACGTGTGTATAATAAAAGCATATCAGAAACTTAAGTCCTGAATCTTGTTTATGTACCTGGAGGAGAGGAGAACGACTTAACTTCCGTCAGAAGTACCTCGGTTAATCTCGCAAGCAACCTATCATTTTCACCATGGAAAGTTGCCGAATTACAACGCTTAACGAGCCTGAAGGCTTTTCCCCATTCAGGGATTATCTTGGCCTTGCCAAACTTGTGGTGTCTCATGCTCAAACCCGCGAGTGTGAGATGGTCCGCGGCGACGAAATCAACGATGACTTCCACTGCAATGGAGTCGACTGTGGACCATGCGGACTGATGCCGTTCACCGTCCCCCTAGTGGAGGGGAGCCCGTGGGGTGACAGCAGTGGCAACCTGCCGTCGAGGACCAACCGAAGCCGACCGTGCCGGCGACAGATCACTTGGTGCGTGTTCTGCCGCAATAATGGGGAGGCCGAGTGCGTCTACGCCTCCCACCTGTTGAAGGACAGCCAAGGCAAGACGACATGCCCAATCCTGCGGGCCTACGCTTGCCCCATCTGTGGGGCGAAAGGTGACAATTCCCACACCATAAAATACTGTCCTGTCAGGCACGCAGAGGAGATTCCACCACCAGCTCCGCTGAAAACGTCCCGCACATCAACGGGGATCAGGAAGACCGGTGCGTGCAGCTCCGTCAACGGGTACAAGCCGACTGCCCACCAGCCGACTGCCGTGGGTGAACGGGTTGCTTGGGACGTCAGGTTCATTTGATACACAGGACTGATAGTTGACTGACTTTCACATAACATACGTTGTAATTGCATGCTATGCTTTGCCAGTTCAACGTGTGAGTTTGGTCAAGAAGAAGCAGCAGTTTCTCTTCAGTTCCAAAGCCAGTTGACCCAAGGTTGACCAGTGAGTGCCTTACGCATAATTATTACTTTATGACCATAATGACGCTATATGTAACTCTGCAAGTTGGCCCTGCTTGTACATATACTTGTTGTTTTGACATGTTTTCTCACTGACATCTTCAAACAACATTTCCATTGAAATCGGCAATGTACTGTGGTTTTATTGGGGGTAGATGTTCTCACCCATTAAGTATTCAAAGTCAGTAATAATTACTTTTGTAATATGATTTCCCAAATAATAGAATCGATAGAATCGGATGAGTGTCATTTATTTGAAGGAATGTGACATGACACCTTGCTTGCTGTATCATGTACTTGAACATGGGCTACCTGTAATTTTAGAATTAAATTAAGCCTCCTACTACTAGTACTAGTAATAATCAGTAGTATGGCGCAAACCACTCTGCGGTCTCTCGTTTTGTGAAATTATAAACCAGTAGGATAATTTCCATTGTGGAAATTTCCATTCCATGATCTGTAGGCTACTGAGAAATATTTTGCCAGTCACTTTTCACATATAATGGGTTTACTAAATGCTGAGAACGTTTATTTTTCTCACTCTTTGCCACCAGCAGACTAAATGTTTTGTCTCTACAAATGTGTGACCTGGTTTTATACTCTAAATTATGCACGTTTTATATTAGTTGGTGAGAAATGGTATCCTAAAAATAGAACTGAGAAAGAAAACAGGTCAATAAGATACACATTGTATTTTTCATTTCCGGTATTGCTAACCGAGTGCATGTTTCCTTCAGGGGGAAAGTAAATACTTTGTAGCACATTGATAATAAGCTTAGAGCACATGAGATTAGCACGAGTTGATTGTTTCGTTTAATTTTTGCAGTATTTGTCTTGAGCTTGCCCAGTCAGAAAATGGTAACTGAAACTCATTAAAGGAAAAGTGGTTATTGAATTCTAATTACAAAGTGTTGCAAACAGGACTGTATCTCTTAATCTGATCATGCGAGAAAATTCCTTGACTGAAATGCCTTATCTGAGGACGAATTTATTCTCTTTTCAGCAGAACGCTGTTATACATTTTGATGGGCCATACAGTTCTTGTATTCAGTCAGTTGTATTCAAGTGATTTCTTAGGAAAGTACTATTTACAATCAGCATGATGAAGTACTAGGGAGCTAAAGAAGTGATGTGAAAGTTAGTATTCCTTAGTGTATTTTTGAAACCTCTCACCATTATGTTGTACACGACTTGACAACTATTGTTTGTATGGTATGGTGTGCTTTTGAATGATATTTACTGAAACACTATTTTAAAATCAACAAGGAATTGATTGTAACTAATCTTACTGTCTACAAATTGATTTTAGTTGTAAATGAAGTGCCTGATGTGTTGAAAGAAAAGTCAGTGTCGGATGAAACAACAGAGCATTATGAATCTAATCATAATATTTAGATTATGTACTTTGTAAAATCGTTTTTATTTGAGATGTTACACTAGTAAAAACTTTGCTAAGTAGTGAAATGATTTCAAATGATGACTTGTGTATGAATATAGTACGCTTTGAATTTTTTAAGCATTTCAAGTTTGTTGCATGGTTATTTACATTTACATTACATGTGACTTATTGAAGTTTGACTCAAAAGTGCCGGCAACCATCTTATTGTCAATCTAAGTTATGAATATGTCAGTTTTATTCGAGATCTAAATCTAAAGGGCTACGATAGGTTTTTATACGTTTTCAAACAGTATTCATGTAGAATTTGTGTATCACTGACAAACGAATGTTGTAATTTATATAAATAAATAGCAAAGACCTTAAATAATTCGAGGTATTTTGATCCGTTTTGTTTGCTTTGTTTTGTTCGGTTAACGGGGAATTTAGCATTTAATAAAATTAACTAGGGTTATTATAAGAAACATTTTATAAGCCATTCTACAAAAAAAGTTACAACTTCCTGTTCACCGTCTTCTGACAGACAGGTGATGTGGGGTAGGAGGGTGCTGGGTGATTGAATGAGTAGCCTGCTGGCAGAGTTATTAGGCGTCGCATCCAGCGGGAGCAAGGGCGGATTCAGACCCAATTTGTGGGGGGGGACAAATTTTGGGGTTCCATACGTAATGTTTTATGGGCACCGAGGCGTAAGGCATTATTTGGGGGCTTTCTACACATTTTGAAGGAGGAAAGTTGTCCGAAAAATTGTCACCTATTTTTCGGAAAATGGGGGGGGGGGGCTGAGGAGGGCATATCAAAGACTTGCAGCCTTGCGATGAATATAAACACGACTATTTTTCTTCAGGTTACAAGCAATAACTCCATCATGGAGTTCCTACTTCTGTCTTCGCGCAAAACAGACTTAGAGAAGAAAAAAACATGGTGGCTTAATCAAATTTATATGATTCCGCTGCCTATTAAAGCTCAAGCACAGGATTAAAGCTATTGGTTCAGACGCAAGAATGTCGATTCAGCCTGTGTTAATATGCAGGAATGGTTAATTTGATTGGATAAAGGCAGAATTTGATCCGGGATTCGATTGATTGATGTCGACAGCCACGCCTACTTTTTGTGCATATTTACATTTATATCAGCACACGTGCCTCAAAACCTCGTCAGTTGCTTCTCGGGTAGAAGGTGTAGTGATCCACGGAATTGCCACTAAATAGCCTGCTAGTTGTTCAGTGGAGTTTAACATGGAAAGTAAATTTGACTTAACTAACGACGTAAGTCGTACACCGAGGCATGGCCGGTGGGATGTAAGTATCTTAGTTTGAATTTTATATTTTAATTTGTTAGGGTCTCGAGTGAAGCAAATTTTATGTCGTATAGTGTAACTCCTCACTCTACCGTCTACGTGTTTGTGGTGCTAATTTGGCAAGATTTCCTCGATTTATTCTGAACTACAGACGTGTCAAATGGAAAAGTACCTTGATTAATGCGTGCAACTCTTAGAATACAGTGTTGGTCAGGGTTCTTTGACTCAGTATAAATGAAGTGGTTTGGATTTAATGACGTGCACCTATGTTGAATATAAGACTCTTCTGCTCTTACGGGTGCCGTATTATTCGTCCACACAATTTCAACAGCATTTTGAGGAAACGCATATAGAACAGTAATTATATGGGGAGATTAACCCTAGCTCCCTAGGGTATCTGTAAAATCATATTGAAATCAGATGATTTGGGACTGTTACGTTTAACATTGCTCAAGAAGTTTATTGTAAGTCAGATTTTTTTTCCAAAATGTGAAATAAGCCCAGGAATCGGTAAGTTCTTAAAAACCCAGCTTAATTCTTGGCAAGAGTAATAAATGCTACCAATTTGGCTATGTAAATGTTGGTGAACAATTGAAATCAACGAGATTGCATTTGTATAGTGTACAGTTTGAAGTTGGTGTTCATTGCGAAGTTTTGAAATGGAAAAGGGACGTTTAGTATTTTCTTCGTCTTATGTCTAAAGATTAAGTGGGTTTGTCATAACTCATAAATGTTAGTTTATGGCCAGTCAGATAACTAATCAGTTGAAGTGAAAAAAAGGGTTATTCACACTCAGAAATTCAGTCCTGTACTTACATGACTTAACCAAAGTAGTATTTGTCGAAAATTTAAACTACTTCATATTTCAGAAGAGAAGTGCCAGATTTTTTTACAGGAAGATTTACCTTTGATTATTGATTCAGCACAAGATTGAACTGAGAAAAACTGCCATAACCACAGCTTGAGCCATGGCTGGCAATGCCAAGTACTTTCAATGGTGGGGTAAAATTAAGCTGTTCATGGCTCTTGTATTAAATGCTAGCTGACAACTATATTTGACATATATTGACAAAAAGTCAGAAGCAAGTTCCTTTTTAAAAATTCACTGCAGTAAAGTGAGCCAAGGTAAAAAAATGTCATATTGGTACTGTTTACTCAGTGATAAATAATTCTATCAGTTCTTTTATTTGAGTAATGTGATTTAACTTTGCCTTATCCCTAGGGGAATGGGAACAGTATGTGGCCATCTACCGAAGAGCCCTCGGCAGATAAAACAGTTTTCTCACCGTACCATGACTACTTGGGGCTTGCCCAGTTGGTGTCCAGGATTTGTAGCAAGTCAGAGTCTGAGACCGAGTGCTGCGGCCCTGCTTCTGCACAGCGTCACGGCTGCAGCCGTGTCACCCCCCAGGCCATGGCTGATGAAGATGACATCTTGAGCGATTTCCGCAACAATGGCCGTGACAGCCTGTGGCCATACGCGCCGGTGGATGTGGCCCTGGTGGATGACACGCAGAGGGGGCTGCGCCCAGCAGGCCGCCTGCTCACCGGCAAGCCACGCTGCACTCCCACATGGTGCGTTTTCTGTAAGAACAACGGGGAGAGCGAGATGGTGTACGCATCGCACGTCCTGAAGGATGGGGACGGGAAAATCACATGCCCAATTCTTCGGGCGTACACTTGCCCGTTGTGCGGGGCCAGCGGGGACTTCTCGCACACTATTAAATACTGCCCAACCACTAAGGGGGAGATTCCCCCTGCACCCCTCAAAACAGCACGTACATCCACAGGCAGAAAACGCACCCAAACACAGTCCAGTCAGACCACCATGAGTGAACTCTTTATGTAATTATAAAGATATCGTGTTCACTCGTGAAAATTGTTCACTGTTTTTGCTTGGTGGAAGTGAAGTGTCGTGAATGACAAGTAATGGTCAGAGTTATGTCAAAAACCTTAAATTCCTGAACCTCATTTAGTCCGAGTCACAATGGACCTTTTTGGTTGGCCTTACTTGCACATCAGATGAAATAACCTGTTTCACTTCTTTCTTTTTCTTTTTTTGGTGAAAAGGAACTTTTGCAAAACATGGCACAGGTGAATGTTTTAAGAGGTACAAAATTAAAATGGGACCTGAGCAATTTTTTTATGAACGTTTTAATCCTTTCAAGTGTAAAGTGCACTTGCCGAAACTTTGTAGATGCTGTTTCTTTGTTTTCATTTCATATGTCTTTTTAAGGCTGTCGAACGTGAATGAATGACTGATTTCAAGTTTTACATTTGAAATGCTTTTCTCCTTGGGTTTTGAAACCGCTAAATTACCTTGTATTGTTGCAAACATTTCTTAAGTCAATATCGAACTTGTTTACAGTTGCAGAAATTAGAATTTACAAGTACATATTTTGTACAGTGATTTTTAAAGCTTGTGCTTTTTTGGCCAACTTTACTTTTTATGCGGGGCAGGAAGAATGTCGGGAAAAGTGCAGCACCGTATTTCTTTTGTTTTTTTCAAAAGTGTGCCGTGAACCACAGGGTATGTACTCCATATTCTTGTCATAGCAAATTTTGAAGATGAATGAGCTGTGTTTCATGGTAATTCAAGCAGATTACTTTATTAGAATTGTGTTGCATTTCTCTTCTGTTCAAGCTTTTGTCGCACATGATTTTGTTGTGCTGTGTTTGAAACCTCTTTAAACCATAAGGCATTTGATTTGCAGAAATAGGTTTTTTAAGTCAGTGTTTTAAATTAGAAGAAATCAAAGAATTGTAAACTGCTACTGAAGGTTTTTAAAACTTGTGGCAGTAAGGCCACCAAATTAAGAAAAATTGAAACATTTGATTCATGTAAATAAGTTGTTTTTCATTAGCTTATAGTGTGTACAAAAGTAGAAATTTTAAAATCAGTTCCAGTATTGTGTTCTTTTAGTATTGATAAAACTCAGATTATCAAGAATTTTTACCATAAACGTAACTACACACTGCATTTATCAATTCCAATTTTTGGATTTTTTTATTTCGAAATATTGATATTTATGTATCAGTATGTATGCATATTTCTTAACCAGAATGTATTCACCTAAGTGGCCTGGTGTTGCAAATCACAGGAATATTGAAATTTTATTTTGTGAAATTTCATAAATTGTACAATTCATCATAACTGCGGAGGGAAAGCTTTGAATTTGTGTTGTTGTTTTTTGTTACATTGAAATTGGTGGAATAAACGAAATGACAAGATTTCAAGACGGATTTACTTCGGAGTGAACGTTTTCGTCTGATGTTGCATTGAATTGCCACTTTCAAACTAGGGGTCCAGACAAACCACACCAGTAGTCCCTCATGTCGCCTGGTAGGACAACTTCGTAATCACGTCCTTAATTAATGAGTCGTTGTTGACTGTGAGAATGTAGATAGGCCCGTTTCCAGACGGTTTTGTTCGGTAACAAATCGGTGGGTTGATAATTTGTGTTTTATTTGCAATCGGTGTCGACATCTGGGAAATGCGATTGAGCTGCACTTTCAATGTAGACTTCGTAAAATTTTTTGTCGCGCTGACCCCTCTGCGCCTTGTTTTCACAGAGAATTCATGGTATTTTCGGCCTGTCCTCATTTCTTGTGAACTGCACCATGAGGAACACAGCACATGTTGCATTCCTTGACGAACACACATCTACATCCCTGAGAGATTAAATACTTAAAAATTCCCTTTTGTACATGAACTAACTGAAAAGAGCGAGAGCTTCACGGACTTCAAGCCTGCGCATGCTCGGTGACCAAAAAATTCCGACGTTTTCTCTCCACTTAACAGCTTTCCCACGGTCAAAGATTAGTAGGCTTTTTTCGCTGTCCAAGATTGTAGCATTTTTGTGCGTCGCAAACATCTGCTCTTAGTAGAAGCTCAACCAATCAGCTAAGAGTTTGGCACGCTGAACCAGGTGCTTTGGAAAGTGGGGCATTTAAATACAGATATATTTTACCCTCAATGCAAAACCGCAACTGGAGACAAAATAATGAAAGCAAAACTTTGGCGCCTGATCAAAAGCTGAGATTCTTTCCTTTCTTGGAGGTCAGAGTGGTAAACAAGTCCAGAACGCGAGTATGATGAGTTGGGTTCATTGACTTTCGAAGGTGCTTATATACCTACAGGAATATTAGCGCCAGTGATTTATAGCACACGTTGAAAAAGAAATCACTCGAATATGAAGACCCTTCAACGGGGCACTCCTCTCTCGTGGTTTCACGTGTCGCTGAAATGCCTGATACCAAGACCGACCGCAGTAAAATTAAGAAATGGGAAACCATTGATCGAGTTTGATCGAATTTGTTGTGTTATTTGTAAAGGTGATGTTGTCTTTGTGGAACTTTGTTTATTCGTAACTGGGGACCCTCCCTTGACAAGCACTACTTTTTTGGGGGCCCATCCACATATATACATTTTGTGAAACTGTTTCTATTGAGTAATATTATGTGGAAAATAAAGTGAACTGAACTGAACTGAGTTTTAAGTAAAGGTTATTAGCGGGATGCACGCGCGGCACCTGCTAGATGGGTGGAGCTAGCTGTGAGACGTCGATATCATGATGGCAATAGACAATAGATAAATGAGACCACTTATATAAGATGTCGATTCTTCAAAAGTTCAGCAAGAAGTGGGAAGAGGCTCAGTGAAGTGTAGACAAAGGGATCATTGAAGAAATAGGAAGCAGTTTCACATGAAATGATGCCTTCTTTCTTGGATACATCAGTAATGACAAAAAAAATAGGGGCATGACACTTTGTGCAATAGAGAGAGGAACATGTATTCTTTTTCCGGTGACACCACAATTATCAAGATCTGGACAATTTTCAGACTTTTTATGCTTAGGCCTAAATATACTTTGGGCATGATGGCCCATTTGCGCTTAATCAAAGAAGATAGTAGGCCTAGGACTTCGCGTGGACAGTGGCCCAGCTAAGTGTATTTTTAAAAAAAGGTACCATTGAAAAAATGACAGCAACTCTTCCCTTCTTCGGGAAAATATTTAAGCTGTGCCAGACCCGGAATGTAGGAAAGGATGGCCAGACCAAGTCTGAGTGGCTAAAATCTGTTCTACCCAGCATATTCAGGATAAGAACGATGTATTGAGCTGAATTCAAAATGAACATAGCGTTTCCACACATTTGCGTCCCCCTTTTCAACGGTAAAAGAAAGACAACGCACAAAAGTCAAGTCCAGGAAATTCACCGAGTAATCTTTCTAAGCTGGCTGGCGCATCTCTGAATGCAACCACAATTTTATGCAAGGGGTCAATATTTGTAAGGGCCTACCTTCCTTTCAACATTTTTCGGTGTGCCCTGTTTCAGTCATATGGGCAAGCCCGACTTTAAAACTTGCCGAAGGACCTTTCAACTTTCAAGGGTGATGGAGTGTTGTGTCACATAGGTCTGGCCGAAGGCCATTGTCCCTTGATGCTAGCCATGCCTGAAGTGACTAGTGTTGCCTTATGAGCAGGCCGATATTCTCTAGAGAAATTACACGATAAGCCAAAAGGCAGGGGACGGGGTATAAAAATGCAATAAATGACGATCTCTTCAACGCATATCCCCCATTCCTTCCTACTTCATCAACTGAAACAAAATGAGGACGTAAATCCCGGGAAATGGGCACATATTTAAAGCCAATTTCCCCTTCCGTTGCCATGTTGAAGCCTGGAGGAAATTACTCCATGGTTCGGTTCAAGTGAACAGAGCTAGATGGGAACGAATTGTCTACAACAATAACAATCACGTGCGCAACGTGGTGTCATGAATTTGTTCCCCTCAGAGTTAAATCTACTTAGCATGCGCACATGAAACGTGAATAAATTTTTGAACGAGGAAAAGGTTACATCTGTTTGTTTTGTTGTTTGTTTGCTTGTTTGTTTTTTGTCGTCGTCGTTTGTTTTTTCGTGTGTGGTGTGTACTCGAGCTCTTCGTAGACTTCCTAACCAATTTGGCAACGACTGGAACATGAGATGGAAATTGGACCAGGTAATCCTAAACAGGAAAACTGTGATTATTTCAAAGCTGGGTCACTGCCTTCCGCCGACCCAAGAAAGGTGAGTTGTTGCGTAGAGAAACATATTGTTAAACTTTGTTGATATTGAGCTCCGACCATAGACCACTGACTCCTGTATAATGATCCAGCGGCAGATGCATACCCTCTGGGGGTTGTAGGTCACCATAACATTACGCAATCCACCCTCCACAGGCAATTTAAGACGCCTTCATCATTGTCCTGGTTTTTCTCTATTCTCGTGCACTAAATGCAGGCAGCGCACTTCCCAACAATAGAAATTTCAAGCTTAAAATACCACTTTATCTCATCCACCCATGGGGTCTCATCTACAGGTGTAGCTTCAGAGGGGTGGGGTCAAAGTTCCACATATATTCCGTCACGACGGAACTCTTCCTGTTCTCCTTTCCGCCTATGTACACCGCTGGGGAAACTCGACTTGAATGAAGACTACAATCGTGCAATTCGATTTTTTTCCAGGGGGAAGTTAACTTAAGTCTGCATCCAACATTTCAAGCTTCTACGATCCTTGAAGCCTAGTATCCTCTCATGAATGACAATACTATTTTCCATAGTAAGAAAGTTGTGTATTTAAAAAAAAGGCATGTAAGTATTGCTATGCAGAAAAATCATGAAACTGAGCTTAATTGTAAAACTAGCTTAATGATCGTACAGCTACAGGCTGCTCAATGTTGACGAGATGTTTAAGTAATCTCTGTACAACTAATTATAAGCATGCTGCTTATATGCCAAAATTGGGGGACAGTAAAAGCATTATTCACTACCAGCTACACAACCCATCTACCAAAATGCTAATTTTGAAAGCGTTTCTCAACTGATGTGATTTTTTCTTAACCCCCTGATCTGGTTCTGGATCCGCCTTTGATTATCCAGACCCTTGGGGTGCATATGCTTCTGATAGCATGGGCCACGTACTGGGCAGTTGCATTTAGTAGGTCGTTAAAATGAATATGCGCTCTTATTGAAAATGGTTGCAACGTAACAGGCAGCTCGGTAGCTGGCCCGGGTGCAAACACCTGACGCCCTGACAGTAGGTTCTTCGCGCTCGAACACAGAAGCACCGTGGCTTTGATTATCCAATTATCAGATCTTAAACCTGTCGACAATCACATGATTGTTTACCCGCAAACGGGCCAGCTTATTACGGGGTGGTGCCAAGTGTCTCAGGCCACCAGCAACAAGAGACCACGCACACAGTTTAATAATAGAGGTGGAGAGAGCTTCATAACTTGCTTTAGCGAGATCTATGATCGAATCGGCAGTTGAGGCCAATTTCACAAAGCTGCTTAAGCACAGAATTTGCTTATGCACGAAAAAATAAATAAATAAACAAAGGTTACCAGCTCAAACTCTGCGTGCTTGCCCTACTAACCAAATAACAGGTAAATACCATTCCAAACTAATATACATCACAATAAGTTTTGACTGGTAACCTGATTTGTCAAGCAAGGTTTTTTCACGCAAAAACAAATTTTTCGTTTAAAAGCAGCTCTAAAAAATTGGCCTGGGTACAAGGGATTGAACCCCGTAACCTTGGACTTAAGACTAAAATTATGTGATCTCTTAAAATTGAAAAAAAACGTGTTCGCGATTGACTCTCATGCGAGATGATGTTACTTAACTACCACAGTCTGGAAAACGTTCATCACAGCATGGAGGAATCACAGTTACCACCGGTGAAACGTTTTCAAGAAATCTCGTTTTCATTAAATTAAACAGGCCAATTAATGCAACTATAGCAAATACGTGGCCGATGCTATCAGGGGAAGCATACACTTCAAGGATCTGGATAATCAACGGCAGATCCAGAACCAAATTTTCTGGGGGGAGCTTGTTTCACGGGCAAACAAGTTTGGAAGTTTGTACAAGTAACACCACGATCATGGTTTTCTGAAGGGTGAAGCTATTTTGATGATTTTTACATGTTTTTGGAAGGGGAGGAAAATGGACCCCAAAATAGTGACGGTCTTTCCTTATTTCCTAATGGCTCCGGGGGGGGCTGGCCCAACTTGCTCCCCCCCCTGCTCTTAGGTGGTGGGGGTGGAGATTAAAATCTAATGTTCAACGGTCACTGTTCATTGGGCATCGAATGACCATCTAATGTTGTTGCGTCGCGACGGAGCTGGTCTGCGCAAAGAGCTTCGGATCTGGGCCAGCGATGCCGATGACAAACCTGCGTTGACAGCTTTACATCTGGC